CTGGGTGACTCGGTCAGTTAAGCTTCTGGTTTCAGCTCAGGTCATGATTTCACTTCTTGCAAGTTTGAGGCCCGTATCGGGCTGTCTGCTGTCAGCACAGAGCCTGCTTCAGATCCTCTGTCCTTCTCTTTCTCTCTGCTACTTCTCCGCTGGCTGGCTCTCTCTCTCAAAAATAAACATTAAGAAAAAAAAGTTGCTGCGCCCATAATGCCCATAGGATCTTGAAAAGGGTAACATATTCTCTCATTCACACACATCTTTTAGGAGTTTCGGTCTAAATCTTTTAAGCAATACAATTAACCAGGTGGTTATTATTCAGAATCTTAGATTTTCTTCTATCAGTTTAGTTTAGAGCCAATAAGAATTTTGGTTTCTTTTAGAAATAAACTATCCATTATTCTGATGATGGCTGTAGTTACTTTAGCCACCAAAGATACCGAGAAGTCCTAATTATATATATTGTTTTGCAGTTGGACTATTTATACTAGATTCTATCACTGTATCAATTAGCTTTTGCTGCATTAACAAACCAGCCCCAATTGCTGACTTACAGAATTAGAAATTAAGTTTTAAGGTGATTTGTTAAGGCAGCAGATTAGCAAAAAATGTTCCTGAACATCCGAATGGTTTTGTGTTGTATAGTTATGTTCATAATTGAATCTTTGTCTTCTTAGATTAATCTAATAGCTCCTCCTCGATATGTGATGACTACAACAACCCTGGAGAGAACAGAAGGCCTCTCTGTTCTCAATCAAGCTATGGCTGTTATAAAAGAAAAGATTGAGGAAAAGAGGGGTGTCTTCAATGTCCAAATGGAGGTAAGGTCTATACTGTTTCTGCCTTGTTCTTAAAATATATATAAGACATTTAAGGGCGCCTGGCTGGCTCAATCGGTAGAGCATGCAATTCTTGATCTTGGGGTTGTGAGTTTGAATCTCACCTTGGAGTTAGAGATTACTTAGATACGTACATATATACATCAGAAATTTAAATCTCTAAATGATTTGCATTCTAAAATGCCTAATCACTGCATTTTAAACCATGAGATATAGTTAGGATTATAACTCTGCTAAGCATAAAATAATCATTGACTCAGAGGCTAAAAAGGGGCTTTTGAGAAGTAAATGAGAACTGCCACATGATAGTTATTCAGGACTAAGGTCACTGATGGATGATATTAGGTTTAATCCCTTATAAGACATGGGTTTGAGAGACACAGCCACTGAGTTTACTTTCATATTTTTCAGTTTTGGTTTATAAAAATGACAGAAGGGAATATTCTCTTCAATGCACACACATTTTTCCCCATACTCTTACTCTCATACATTTCTCCCATTGTTTATCTAATGGAATTTATTAACGATGCGGCAGCACTAAGGAGTGAACAGATGGCAGAGCTGTGAAGGAAGAGTGTTTAAGAGCTAAAATACTAGGCAATAATAGTAGTGAAGTTGAATTTGCATACTGTGTAACTATCTCACTTTGAAATTACGTCTCTGCTTCCACAGCCTAAGGTGGTCACGGATACAGATGAGACCGAACTTGCAAGGCAGCTTGAGAGGCTTGAGAGAGAGAATGCAGAAGTGGATGGAGATGATGATGCAGAAGAAATGGAAGCCAAAGCCGAAGATTAACTTTGTGGGAAACAGAGTCCAGCTTAAGGAACACAAAGCAGCCCTTCCTGGCTGTAAACCCTAGACTTGAAAGTTTTCCAGTATTGAAAACTTCAAAGCTGAATATTTTTTATTTCCAAGTATTTAAATGTTCCAACAAACCAAAATGTGAAATGCCCTCCTAAAAGTCAGCTGTTTTCACACAATAGCTCTAACATTCAGCATTTTTTAAGGGACTGGGCCTAATTTCACTAGAGATAAATCTTTAAGAACAGTCATAAAATTGGGCTCATGATTTCCATTTCTGATGTCTCCAGATTGGCACCCTTTGTAGTTCAGTGCCTCCGTGAGATTTACAAGGGGGCACCCAAAGCAAATAGCCTCAACCTTTCTATATAAAATGTATCACGCAAACATTAAATAAATTTCTGGGATATTTAACTATAGGCTTCTTCCTTCTTGTCACCAGTTAAAAGCATTACGATTACTAAGATCCTAATTCTATTATCTTCCTTTTAGTCTAGATGTAGAAGAAACATAAGGGCAGGTGACCAAAGGATCTGTATAGTGGATCCTTTAAAAGGATGTAGAGAAAATAATTTCTCAATTTTAACCACAGTTAAAGTTGACTCTTAGCAGGGAAAAGCCTTAAAACACAACTTAAAAATTACATAGGATGTGTGCCTTTTGCCAATTAATATATGGTATGAGAGAATTTATCACAGTGGTTGGTCCTTGTTGGTGTACTACTAAGCTGCTCGCCCCGTGTTTGTAATTTGGGGTGGTAGAGTTTGTTTTTGTTTAAGATACTGCTTTAGTTATTTTGAGTATCATTGCTCAGCTTTTGGTTTTTCTCCTTATTAAATCATTCACTAGGTGCCACCTAGAGCTTCAGTTCTTTATAACAAATAGGGATCTGATTGAACACTGTCACAATGATTTTTCTACATTTCCATCATTTGTGTGTTTAAGAGCTAATTATTTTAAAGGTATATGACTCTAAAGGTAAATAAATGTAAAGAAATCTCATAGATAACACACAGTTTGAAGTTACAGCTACAGTAGCCAGGGTGTAGAAAGTCTTAAGTTTCAAGATTGATCTGTTTCATAGATTTAATCTCTTAGGATAATTGAGGCACTAGGTACATTAATTTTATTAATTATTCCTAGGAATAGCTACTGAAAACAAAAGATTAACTCTAAACCACCTTACTTCACTGAGGACTAGACTTCAATATTAAAGGGACTAGGAAATAGAACAGTGTGTTGTTGAGACTGTTAATGCCATTTTTTGAAGGTTTGTCCCTGTATTTATTTTAGCATCCTCTAGTAGCTTTTTAAATCCAAAAGTATAACTTCATATGGCTATTTTCACAAGATAGCCATGACTGCCAGCTAGCATGGCATAGTGGGACTATTTAGAGGAGGATCTAGGCATACTCAAAATTGGCACAAATTTCACTTTGGTCTTTTTGAGGAGTCAAAAAACTAGTCTATAAATAGGCTTGTGACATCAAGAATGTCATCAAAATATAACCAATGCTCCCTAAATGTGTGCCGTAGGCAGGGGAATTGAACTGAACTTTGTTTACTGACGTTTTTATACTTCAAAGGCGTTAACAGTTGAGAAGTACTGGTGACCTACATGGTGAGTGATTTTATCCCATGCAAGCCTTTTGGCTCAGCTCCACAACAATTGTGCAAATTTATGACCCTTGCCAGAGAAAAGATTAATACCTCAATGATACCATGAAGCAGAGAACTAAGTAAAAACATACGTATACCCTGCTGCCCTAACAAGCTCACTTTCAAATGTGAGGACAGGCTACACACCCATCTCCAGATAACCTGAGGAACAGACTGAGAAGGACAGTTAACCATTTTATCCAAATCCTGCATCTCCCCACAGTGTCTTTCATTAAAAACACAACTTCATCTACTCCCCATTCTGCCTTTCAGGTAAAGCAGTTATCAGCTCACACAACTGAAAATTAGGAGTAGTTTGGGTCTCATTTAATCATAACTGAAAGTTAAAAGCCGCCGAGAAAAAAAACATGGTAACATTCCAAATGTTTCATTTGCTGTTTTTTATAGTAAAATAAGACAAACCAGTATGCACATGGGTAATTGTCATTTAGGGGGACCCTACAGAGACCTGCTAATAAGCATTACATCACACTCAGCATTACAGTGATTACTCAGCTGCCCCACTTTCAAACACTTCAGCTACTTTTGTGTGAAGAGCCATTCAGATAAAATGGTTTGGGATTTTTAAGAATCAAGTACTTGTACCTTGGCAGGAGTTGCCTACTGATTTGCCTAAAGGTGACAACCATCTACTTTTTCCAGTGCGTGAAGATTCAGATACACCTATACAGAACGGTGCAGTGGTGCCGAGTTGGAGTTAAGCCATCAAACCAAACGCAGTTTAATTTAGATAAACACCTGTTGATGTTCAAAGAGCAATAAAGAAACTAATTCCAGGGACATCAGACCTTGGTGAAATGCCAAATGGAAAACGGTGCTTTAAAAGGCAGTCTCTTACAATGTAAGGAGTAAAATAAAACCTCATTAGCTTGGAATGCCTGATCATTCAGGTCAGGTATTTCTAGACCACATTAAGAGGAGACAGTTAAAACTATTTAAAAGGAAAACTTTTTCCGTAAGCACTTTGGAAGTATCTACTCCCCTTAAATGTAAGTTACATATCTATTCGTTGAAGTCTAAGCACTTGTACTTGGCAAGAATGCTGGCAGTAGCTTGTGCCAGATTACTGTATAAACTTGAAAGTAATAAAAATGTTTTTAAAGATACTGTATGATACAGACTTTTCACTACTTCAGATTAACCCCACTGGTGAAGCTTCTTGGTATTTACATGTCTCAATGTTCACTTTAAAATCAAAATTTCATGCCTTAATTCTTTTACCATTTACGTCTTTCTCTGTCCTTCAGCAGCTTCTGCTCTGCATCTCTTTGTATGCCATATTTCATAAAAACACTGTAACTTTACTCTTTATTGTATTTGTGAGTAATCTCTCCAACTGAGCCCATGATTTCTGCACTATGTATGCTTACCAGGCTTCTTTTTCAAAGCAAATCAATATTCAAAGAATGTTCAACCAAAATTTTGCTGCCATTCCCATTTTAGGATGAAGCATGTCTTAGTGGCATATTTGACATGTTTTTGTAATCCTGCATAATAATTTATATAGCCTCAATTATGAAAAACCTTTGGAAACTATAAAACTTTGTCCAGGAAATTCTAATAGCTAGAAACACGGCAGTTTTTATTAATTCCAAAGAAGGAGTTAGTTTTTAACAGCATCTCAGAGACAGCCAACAAACACAATACTAGAGTTTTATTTAGTATTACAACGTGGCTAGTTAGTGTTACAACAGGGAACCCTACCTTGGTGCCCAAGGAATGGCTGGCTGTGAAGATGCGTGAGAGTCAAGATGCTGACACCTAATGGTTAACAGCATTTCTAGGCTGTTAACAGGAAGGTGGGGAAGGAAATAGCACCACTGCTGGTTGTGATCTAAGGATCACCGGTCTTCCTGCAAAGCAGTACAAAATGTACATCCAAAGAAGCTGAGTCTGAACACACCCATTCTCCAGGAAATCTTGTCTGTACCATCTGGTAGGAGGGAGGAATCCCGGTCCTGTTCCTTCAGGAACACGCTCCCTTGTCACGTTAGCTTTTTGATAGCTTCAATCCACTCCACTCGCTCAGCTTTGCTGCTGGCCTGGATATAATAGTGTGTGTCATCCTTGGTAATCACTTTGAAGAGATTCCCCTGGACATTCCCTTTAACCCCTGGGCAGAAGAAAAGTCAATGTGTGAGTATCCATGTCTGCTTTCAGCTAGAAGTGAACTGAGCCACAAACAAAAAGACACATGAAGTATTTTTTCAATGCCAATGTATGTGGTTAGGGAATCCCACCAAATGCCCGCTTCCCTCTTTTCTTCCTCTCCATTCCCTGTCCTGCACCTGTGCCCTCCTGGCCTTGTTCCCTGCACCCACCGCAGATCTACAGTTCCATTCACATCAAAGAATTCAGTATGCTTATGATAAAAGCAGGCACAGATTTGGAACCTGACTTTAACTTGTTTAACTTCTTTGGACCTCAGTTTCCACACCCATAAATTGAGAATAATACTGTCTTCCTTAGCTGGCTATTGTGAAATTAGTATGCTGATAGATATTCAAGTGTGTTGCTAATCCTTAAACACCGTGTAGGTTTCTATTCTTAGGTGGCAGTTTATCTACCAGGAGGCAGAGAAACTGAGGGGAAAGAATATCAGACAAGGATTATTTAGTTGCGTTGTTAAAAGACTAATAACACCCCACATGCCCTTTTCCCTAATTCTGAAATTGGCTTCAAAACTCACACCACTCATCATCTCACTGAGGGGATACTTCGCTCCCATAGCTCAGTCCATCAGCAGAGCACCACTAACAGTGCAGCAGGGAAGACTTTGAGGAGGAGCCTGAGGCCTACAGGCCAGCGCGAAGTTGTCCCTTACCAGTGGGAACGCCATTATCCTCCAGGGCAGACACGAGGGAACCACGAAGAGAAAACCCACCCACTGGCCGGTTCTCTTCCTGCAGCAGAAAGGATTCCTGATTAGGCATAGTGTGAATGCACAAAAGGGGAAAAGGAGTTGCACTTTTGCCCATAACCACCCTCAGGCCCACTAAAGAAGTCAGGGAGAGTCATCTGTAAGTGTAGGTGAGGCTGACTTTGGACATCACGAGGCCACGTAACATGCACCAGTAAGAAAGTCTGGGCTTCATTTCACTGCCAGCAGTGGCAGGGCCACATTCCTCCCTGGCACTCAGCCCCAGAGCTCCTTGTCACTCCATCGTGTGCCACCATTAGGGCGGGAATTCCTGACTGAAGCCCGGTGAGGGAGGAACTGCCCACTCTTCAATATTTCAAAAAATGAACAAGAATCATACATCTACCAAGACAAGGCTGGACAGGCCAACTAAAAGGCCATTATTCTTCGTTTTCCACTGGAATTAAATCAACTCATCACACAGTAATTCTTATATCTGAAACTCAGAGTAGCAATCCTTTGATCAATTAGAAAAAAGAAACGAAATTAGTAAATTATGGCTTAAACAGTACATGGTAAAAGGAACTTCCCACAACATCGGTGGGGACAAAAGGTTGAGGGGCAGAATTCATGGGATCTCCTCATAGAAAGGGGTGAAGAGGCTGGGAAGCACCGGTTAGGTGTCTCTTAATCAGCCCACCCCACCCTCCCCAGCCACACAAAAAGCTCTGAAGAAACTAAAAGATGCTTTCCTCTCAAAATAAAGATAACCCTCTTGCGCAGGCAACAGCGTGCTAAAGGCAATGATCAGACCACTGAGAGCAGCTCAGATTGTGGGAGGAAAGGAAGGGAGGGAGGGAGGGAGGGAGAGAGAGATGTTGAGAGAACGGAAGAAGTACAGCCAGCTGCCTGCTATGCCTGGGAGAAAAGGGTCTGGAAGTACCACGCAAGGGTACCAGGTGAACATGTGACACTCACTTTGGAAGGGTCATAGTAATGCAGAAAAGCCGGATCCTTCCTCAGAACAAAGCGCCGCACCTTCCAGTTTTTCCTTTTGTGTCCCTGAGGCAAAGAAAGGGTTCATCTGTGACAGTCTGTCCCTTCCTCCCACCTCCGTAAAGCTAATGCCAGACGTCCAAGCCAGCTGGCTCCAATGGGCTGCTTTCTAAGAGGAGTCTGCTGGAGGCCCAAGGATCGTGGTGACTTGGACCTCCCTGCTCAGAAACACGTTAGCAAAAACATGGTCACAGTTAGCCGAGTTGACAAAGAGGGTCAGCACTGGAGGAAAAAAGGAGCATGACCCGGGCCCTACTCCACGTGTAAGGAGAATAGGGAGGCGGCAGGTGTCAGCTGGACTAAGAGCTCATGGGCAAACTTGAACCCAAGGGCACCAACTTTTAAGTGTCAACTTAGTCAAAAAACAAACCTACATACAATTGCATGTACTTATGTGCACACACATACAGCAAAAGCCACTTTAACGTTCTGCATCAGAAAAGGTAAGAAATGATCATTTTTGGGCGCCTGGGTGGCTCAGTCAGTTAAGTGTCCAACTTCAGCTCAGGTCATGATCTCACGGTTTGTGAGTTCGAGTCCCTCATAAGTCTTTGTGCTGGCAGCTCAGAGCCTGGAGCCTGCTTTGGATTCTGTGTCTCCCTCTCTCTCTGCCCCTCCCCCATTCACACTCTGTCTCTGTCTCTCTCAAAATTAAACATTAAAAAAAAAAAAGAAATTATCACTTTTATGTTAAAATTTAAATGTGTAAGACACTGGTGTGTGTGTGTGTGTGTGTGTGTGTGTGAGATGCTCTTTGGCTTCACCCCCAAGATCACAAAGCTTCCTTAGCCCTTTAGCGGGGAACACTCAGAACCCCTCCCACGCCCTCCTCATGGTCTTCCAGGCTCTCCCTGCCTCCCCTCACTGGACTCCTGTCAGGCCTGGGAGTGGCAAGAGATATCTGTCTGGGGTAGATAGGCAGTTGCATGCATGGTAAATAATCTCAGAGCAGATGGGGATCCTGATATGCAAGAAGCAGATGACAAGGACAGCCGTGTGCCCCAAGTAACAACGGGCATGGCGCGGAGCAGCATGTGTCCATGGTGCAGACACACACATTCACACGGAGTGTGGGATGTGCACAAACACCAGGGGTGTGCAGAGGCTGGCTTACACTTCACGTGCTGTGATGTGGTGATTCTGTTCCCAGAGTACCCTGCGTGTCAGGCACAGGTAGAAAGGCCACATGTGTGCCTGTGATAGGGCTGCTCCCCAAACATGGTTAACAGTAGCAACTACAGTCAGGTTTTGAACACTGACATTACACTGAAGAATTTCATCTTCAACCTACCAAAGTAGGTGGAGAAGACTTATTTTTTTATTCAAAAAGTGTATCCGGAGGGTGTGCAAAGGCCCACGGAAGAAGACAGGGACCCCAGGAAGCATCCCGGAGCTGAAGGCCAGCAAATGCAAAACACTAATCCAGTGAGCAATGTGCTTCCAGACAAATGCAAGACCTGGGCAGTGCTACAGGTGTTTTTTAGCTTTGCGATACTGACTTAAGTGTACTTTCCCCCTGTGTCTTGGACACACATGCATATGTGTTTGAACAGGCACATTCGTGCCTCTTGACTTGCTCCCTGCAGCCGCCACTGGCTCCTGCTTTACCAGATTCTGCTTTAGCATTCTCAGTCCCTCCCACCCTTTGGGGACATTCTGTCCATCTCCCTCTCCAAGGCAAGCATACCTGCTTGGCCAGGTAGCCTTGTTTTACCACTGTGCCACTCAACTCCACGGTGCTGAGACTAATTTCTTCCTTGGAGCTTATCTTCTTCTTGTAGCTCTCAGCCTAGTGGGAAGGAGGGAACCAGGGCTCTGTTACAAAACGGTCCCAGTTCCAGGCTCTGGGGGCTACCACAGGGGACAGAAAAATCCTTGATACAGAAACCTCACTCCACCTGAGCGTGAAGAAGTCCCCAAACGCTAGGCCTCTGGCCCATGACTGTGGACCCCCAGCCCTCACTCGGTTACCTCCTCCTTCCCTCTGCTCCAGTGGCAAGAGGAACCCACTCCCTAACTTACGAAAGTGTACAGAGCCGTGGAGTCATCCAGGAACTGCTCAGCCAGGTCTCCAGAGCGAATGGCTCCCATGCTTCGGACGCCTACCGGCCTAAGGAAATTCTCTTCCATGAGCATAGAGGCCAGGGTCACGGCCTCCAGACGGTTAGCAGAAAAGTTGTTGGAGATGAGCCAGTCCACCAGGGAGGAGCCTGCATTGGGGCAAGGACAGCATCAGTCAGATGACAGGCTACAGACCAGCCTCCCTCAGGGTGCTTGGCTGTGACCTCATGACCCTAACCTCCTGGGCGGCCTTGGGCTCGACCCCAGAGTATGTGGCCATCTCAAACCAGCCCATTAGCTATAGGCAGCTCTGGCCTTAGCACAGGAGGGCAAGCACGGCTGAGTCTCAAGTCACCATGCCCCAGGTTTCCACTGCCCAGCCCAGCCCCCAAGATGGGAGGCTCACCTATGAAGGTCTTTTTGTAGGTGCTTCCCTGTTCCATGTTGGGGCTTGGCCGGATCCCACTGCTGCTGTCGTGCATCTTGTCCACAATGCGACTGCACAGAAGGAAGGCAAAGGAAAGGGGCCACACAGTGTATGATACCGCATCACACCAACAGGTAGGAGGGGGAGCCCAAGAGTTGCTGCTACACGTATAAAGCAAGTGACAACCAGTGTATACACATCACAAAGCAAGAGGGGTTTCCATTATGCAGCAGAACGGAGAGGTAGGATTTCAGGATGTTTCTTTTCTTCTTGCTCGTCTAAATGCTCTCATGTCTCTACATTAAACGGGGATGACTTTTGTAGTAAAACTAAAGAGCTGTGACTTTCAATTTAAAAGCAAAAGAATGTACAATACTGATTCTCTATGATCTGCATGAAGGCTGACCTCCTCCAGCTACTTCTCAAAGTCACCCCTCACTTGACCCCACTCCCACCCACCACTGTTCCTTCTGCAGTGCATAGGCTGCACACTCAAGATTTCAGGGCCTGGCATGGAGCTTTCTGGGAGCCCAGGAATGGGCTCATGCCTTGCCTCTGAGAGGTGTAACAGTTCTGCTGCCTGGGAAGTTAGGGGGTGTTTCCTGCAGATGTAACTGGTTCCATGATGGAACTCCTTTCCGACATCCCTACTTTAGAGTATTGTCTCCACCAATGATCTGCTTTCTTTCTGTTCCGTGAGATGATTCCTACCACCAATGGAAGATCTTTTCTGTTTTTCTACGTATGGCCCTGGGTTAGAAAGCCCCTGAGATAAGACCTTAGTTATTTACAGTTGCATCTCCTGAGCACCTTGTGCAGTGTACAGCACGCAAAAAGCACTCTATAACTTTCCCTGAATGAATACATGAATGCATGTGTGCATGTATGAATGAGGAACCTCACAGAGCAAGAATGCAGCCACTACCAGAACACACCATTCTTGCCACCAGGCTGCAAACAAGTACAGTGACTTGGTGAGTGGAGGTTCCGGGGGGGGGGGGGGGGGGGGGGGGGGTGCTGTCAGGTAGCCCAGGGCACCCTGGTTGAAACTGAAGAGAGGGTCTCAAGTCACTGAGGTGGGAAAGCAGCAGAGGCCCCAAGAGGTTACATAGGAGCAGGACAGGTAGGTGGGGCCACTCCCAGGCAGAGAAAATAATACAAACAGGACAGTGACATTGGAAGACCCTAATGCACAATGGTGACACCAGGTAGGCATGTGTAACATGCCACACAGACAGAAGTGGCTGCAACAAAGCCAGGCAGGGCTCGGGGCTCAGAGCTGGGCACTCACTGCAGACTGATGTGAGGGGGCAGCTTGAAGGAGTTTTTCAATATGTGGAGTTGCTGGACTTTCCCCGGCTGCCCAGCGTGAATAGCCCCCGTTATCTCAAAGGCCCAGGCGTCCCTCTCTTCTCGAGAACAGGCCTCCAGGAAGTACTCGGTGGATGTTTGAGTCTTCAGCTTAATGAGGAGCTGCAAGAAGAGATGGCTTGTCAGGCCAGCACTCAGAGGCCTGGCAGGCCAGAGAATGTCAGCCCCAAACAAAGATGATGGGGCCACAGCAAGCCCAGTACACACAGGTTCAGTGGCTGCTGAATGCCCAACCCCTCAACCTCATCCCAGGGGTGGTCTTCAAAACTTGCTTGTCCACCTGAAGCAACAGGGAGCTCATGGCCTCACAAGGCAAGCTCTCCCTCTTGGACAGACTACTTAGCATAGACTGTTGCCTGGACACTTTACCTCCTTGCTTCTGGAACCATCCAGACTAACTTTACCTCAATGGCAGCCCCTGTGCTGAAGTGGGAGGTACGCTGGCTTTCAAGGCCAGCTGATCTGAATGCAAATCCCAGCTTAGCCACTTAGCTATGAACACTTGGGCACATTAAGGAATCTCACCAAGGGGTGCCTGGGTGGCTCAGACCATTAAGCATCTGACTTCAGCTCAGGTCATGATCTCACAGTTTGTGAGCTTGAGCCCCACTTTGGGTAACCCATGAGCCCTGCTTCAGTTGAACCCCACTTTTCTCTCTCTCTGCCCCTCACTCACTTGTGCCCTCTCCCTCTCTCCCAACCAAACAAGAATCCCACCAAGCCTAAGTTTCTTCATCTGTCATGTGGGGATATTAATACCCACTTTGGAGGAACTGTTCCTTATGCTCCTTTGGTCCTCTTTTCTTTGATTTAAGCATCCCCAACCTTTCACACACTTCTCATATGATATGGTTTAAACTCTCAACCAGCTAATGTTCTGTCACACATTCTGCAGTTGGTCAACATTCTCGTAAACTATGACCCATGTAATGGAGCTGGCTGCTCCAGGAAGGCTCTGAGGGGCGCAGGGTGGTACAGGTTGATGGCCCAAGGTCACACTGGTGGTACTGTAGACTGACACTCTGTGAGGTCAGCAGAGTCTTTTTTATGTAGGCCACATCTCCTCCACTCCTTGAATGTGCATTTAGGGTTTCTTTTTCATTTTTTGTTTTTTGTTTTGACCACTGTGGGATTTTGATGTTGACTCTATTAAATGTCATCTTAGAAGCCTACCGCTTCTGTTGGGGAAAGCAGATGCATTCTATTTCATTCTGATTTTGTCTTCCAGTGTATTAGTTCCCAACTTGCTTTCCTTGCAGACTCAACATCCCTCATCTCAACTAACAGTAAAAACAGTGATAGATGAGGCTGGTTCACAGTCCCAAAGGATACCACAAATCTGTTCCTCCAGGTTAACACTGACTCACTCATCAGCATTGTCGGAGAACAAATTCACCCAGCTCCCTGCACCTCCCTTATCAGTCTGCAGTCAACATTTTAGTGAAAGAATTTCGGGAAAGACTATAAAATTCCATGTATAATCCAGACATACTCTTTTATAGCTTCCCAAATGAAAATACACACACACATCCACATGCATATACATACACATGTATATACTTTACAACATGTTTTTAATGAACCTGCTGGCTCCTCTTGACCTCTTCCAGCTCAAAATCTCATGAACCGGAAGGATGACAATCTGAGAATGTTTGGAAAATTAACATTGAAGTTCACAACTCCAATTAGCAAATTTCACTTGCTTCCTTTTTTGAAAGTTTTTCTAGCTCCAGCCCATTCTACCAGCACTTCTGCTTTCTACTGTTCCTTAAAGATTATTAAAGCGCATCAGGTCAACGAGTGAACCTACATGCTCTGGGGTTTAATTTATTGAGAACTAGAGTCTTAACTTCACTTAGAAAACGAGGGGTTTTTCCTCTTAAAGATGGCTCAGCTGTAAATGTTTCTTTTTTCTTAAACATTAATTCAACAAACACTTACTAATCATCTGCTATGAGTGCAGCCATCGTGTTTGGTCTTCTCACACAAGGAAGAAAGTGCAGCCCCAGTCTTCCCAGCGTGGGCATTCTCTGATAGCCCCACCTCCAACCAACAGAACGATACCCCACTTGACTTATCCCCCCTAATCAGCAGCACTTCCAGATTAGCAGTGGAAATTGCAGAATGACATTTGGTCAGCCTCATAGGCTGAAATGATGCTCAAAATCTCCCTCGCTTTTGCCCTCAACATCCAATCAAACAGGTCCTGTTGACATTTCCTTCATAACATTTTCTCTCATGTTCCCCTTACTTTTTGCCTTATTGCATACTTATTTTAATAGCTCCCTTTTTTTTCTTATTTGAGAAAAAGTCAAAACTACAAAAGAGTACAGCAGTTAACATAACAAATACCAGGAAACCTACCTCCCAGAATGGACTGTCATAAAGGTTTTCTTACAAGGTTTGTCAATTGGTTTAGAAAAGTCAGAGAAGAAAAACATAACAAAGAAGAAAGTGGTAAGATCCCTTCTTTATGGATCTGGTAACTTATTAGGAGCAGAGCGTATTTCCTCATTTTAGTTCTTCTAACAGTGTTTCCACCAGTCCATTCTCTTATTCTTTTTTTTTTTTCATTTTTTTTTTTTTTTTTACAAATAGTTTATTGTCAAATTAGTTTCCACATAACACTTAGTGCTCATTCCCACAAGTGCCCTCCTCCATGCCCATCCCTCCTCCCCCCCACATCCATCAGTCCTCAGTTTTTGTCAGCATTCAAGAGTCTCTCATGGTTTGCCTCTCTCCCTTTCCCACACCATTTCCCCCCTTCTTCTCCTCCTTGTTCCTCAGTTAAGTTCCTCCTATATGTGCAAACATGATATTTGTCCTTCTCTGCCTTATTTCGCTCAGCATAACACCCTCAAGGTCCATCCTCTTATTCATTTTTTTTTAATGTTTTATTTATTTCTAGGAGAGAGAGAGACACAGTGTGAGCAGGGGAGGGTCAGAGAGAGAGGGAGTCACAGACTGAAACAGGCTCCAGGCTCTGAGCTGCCAGTCAGCACAGAGCCCGACGCGGGGCTCGAACCCGCGAACCGCGAGATCATGACCTAAGCAAAAGTTGGACGCTTAACCGACTAAGCCACCCAGGCGCCCCTCCATTCTCTTATTCAGAACCTTCAGTGACTCCCCATTACCTCCATTTGGCCCCAGCCAATCTCCCATTGCTCCCTCGGTGAACATTCTCCTTTTCCCACACTGCCCATCGTCATCTCCAAATCTATTCCTATATCTCCCCACACTTTTACTCAAGACTTTCCACCTGACTTTCAGAATGTCTGCCTCTCTCCTCTTTCAGATCTTTGCCAAGTCCCTATTCCTCCCAATGCTGTACCTGACTCAGACATCCTATAATTACATCTTCTTCCTCTTCAGAAATACAGTGTTCTCTATGACTAATCATGTTTATACCAACATTTGGAATTCTGAATGTTTTTTGATTAACCACTTGTTTTCAAAATAAGATGAATAACTCAAGGGAAAGCACTCTTACCATTTTTTTCCTTGACTCCTCCAAGCCTGACAAATTTCTTGGCACAAAATGGGCCCTCAAAAGACTGATCCAGATAATTTTTTAATTTTTTTAAAAATTTATTTATGAGAGAGAGAGAGACAGTGTGAGCAGGGGTGGGTCAGAGAGAGAGGGAGATACAGAATCTGAAACAGTCTCCAGGCTCTGAGCTGTCATCACAGAGGCCGACAATGGGCTTGAACCCACAAACCGTGAGATCATGACCTGAGCCAAAGTCGGACGCTTAACTGACTAAGCCACCCAGGCGCCCCTGATTCAGATAATTTTTGATGGTAGGGTTGAAGTTACACAGACTTTTGGAACATGCACACCCCCCTCAGGGGATGAAAGCCATCAAATTGAACCCCAAGACAGCAGTAATTGCTCCCATTTGTGAGATGCCTCCTAGCCTACAAGGTGCTTTGACAGACCATTACCTTCAGTCATAATCCTCAACCCAATCATGAGAGATAATGAAGTGTCATTATTTTACCTCATTTTATAGAGGAGGAACTAAGGTTGAGAGAGGCTCAATTACTTGCCCAAGGTCACACCTGGCACACAGCGCAGCAGGACTTGAATTTAGTTTTTTTCAGTGATAACTCAGCTCTTCCCAATACCCACATCACCTTCACCAAAGAGGCCAGAGGTGAGAGGGTTCGGGGCAGAAAGGAGCAGGAAGCAGGAGCCTTCACTTACGGGTCGGTTTTCATACTCCAGGCAGGGGCAGGTGATGGTGCAGCCATCCAGAAGGATCCGGCCCTTGGGAGGGGTCACCTTCTGGCCTCCCTGGAGCTTGTAGTACAGCAGTGTGTTCTGCCGGAGGATGAACCATCGCGCCTTCCAGTTGTGGACGATGTGACCCTGAGAATGGACAGCAGAGCCCTGCGGTGACATGGCTGAGGGGACAACACTGTGTTCAGGGAGACATGTCTCCCAGACCGCGTGGGATTAACTGCCCAGAAAGGGGGTCAGCATTATCTTTTTTTTTTTAACTCCACCTAATTTTTTTATTTTAAAATAATTTCAATTCAGAGAAAAGCTGAAGAATAGTAATAAAGAACTTTAATAATAGAATCATTTATGAGTAAACTCTTAATATGATGCTCCATCACTTTTGAATATTTTATTGTGCATCTCCTACAAAAAAGGGGGGGGGCGTATATTTCCGACATAACCATAATGCAACCATCAACATCAGGAAATTTCCATTAATGTATTAGTATCATCTACCACCTCCAGCCAAGTTTCACCAATTGCCCCAATAATGTCCTTAATAGCCAAAGGAAGGATCTAGCTCAGAATCATACTTTTTATTTTCATTTGCATGAAAAAAGCATTACCAGTCTGGATCTCTTTGTCATCTCTTTTGAGTATGTAACCAACACCTTTGGCATAGACCTTCCAGTTCCCATTTGGCCTTGTCCATGGTTATAAACCTTGAAAGAAACTGCAAAGTATACAGAAGAGAAGGCCTACCACGAGGAGACTGATGTTGCTAACATTTTGTGTTTTCCTATAGTCTTTTTTCCTTAGTTTTTACTTTCTGGTTTTTAAAAAAAAAATCAGGCCCACGTTACATATAGTTTCACTATCTAGTTTTTGTTTTGTTGAGCTTTGCTGAGCATCGTCTCACACCAATGTAGCTCTTTAAAATGTGTTTTTGAATGACCACTAGGTGGATGCAACGTTTACTTGTCAATCCCCTATTGTTTATAACTAAGGCTGTTGCATTTTTTTCAGTTATAAATAATTCTGCAATGACTATCCTTGCACATAAATTCTGATCTGCATCTCAAATTTTCTTTTCCTTAGCATATATTCCTAGAAAGAATATCACTAATCAAAGGATGTAGGCAATTTGTAAAGCTGAAGCCACAAACAGTCTACCAGTGCTAAGGACCCCAGTAATCTTCCGTAGTCCTGGTATGGCAAGCCTGAAAGGCAGGGTAGTTTGGGGGCTCTCAGGTGAGTCATAGAACCAATGGACAGGATAGTCAGGCAAAGGCAAAGGGCCTATTTCTAGAACAGACCAACAGATGAGGGAGTGTCTGCTGAGGAATCAGAAAGGAATGGGTTTAGAACACACTCACGAAAGCAACTTTCATGGCATATTTTCCAGAGCAGAGCCCAATAAGGGTTAGATTCTAATTAAGAGAGATGTGCTTTATCTGAATCAGAGACCATTTCCCTAATTCACTCATTTTCTTACATTTCCTAGCATTTATTCATTTCAAAGTCTTCTTGAATTCTTACATCTGTGGTTTTGTGATTGTTCCACATATACTGTGTATAGTGCTGTTAGGGAACCAAAAGTTGTAGGAACTGAGGGCGCCTGGGTGACTCAGTTAGTTAAGCGTCTGACTTCAGCTCAGACCACAATTTCACAGTTCAATCCCAGCGTCGGGCTCTGTGCTGACAGCTCAGAGACTGGAGCCTGTTTCAGATTCTGTCTCCCTGTCTCTGCCCCTCCCCCGCTTATGCGCTCATTCATTCTCTCTCTCTCTCTCTCTCTCTCTCTCTCAAAAATAAAATAAAATAACAAACATTAAAAAAAAAAGTTGTAGGAATCAACTGAGTCAACACCGGGCTGTGCCCAAATAATTTACTGTGGCAACTAAATAAAACTTTTAACCATGTCAATATGACATGAGTTTATTAATATGTCTAAGTGCTATTACATTGTGTGGCAATCAAGCTATTCACATGAGATGACTTTCATAGTCAAGTTCAATTTTACATTTTTTGCTCTCTCTACTCACTCACATACTTAGGATAGACATGTAACATGACGGTTGACAGCTTTTCTTGACATGGGCAGACATGTTTAAAGAAACAAAGATTTCGGGGCGCCTGGGTGGCTTAGTCGGTTGAGCGTCCGACTTTCGCTTAGGTCATGATCTCGCGGCTCGTGGGTTCGAGCCCCGCGTCGGGCTCTGTGCTGACTGCCAGCTCAGAGCCTGGAGCCTGTTTCAGTCTGTGACTCCTTCTCTCTCTGACCCTCCTCTCCTCACTGTCTCTCTCTCTCTCCTAGAAATAAATAAAACATTTAAAAAAAAAAAAAAAAAAAGAAACAAAGGTTTGGCTCTGACTTCTCAGCAGTTGGGGATCTCTACTGCTCTCCACGTGGCCCAGACTTGGGTCCTCTTTTTCAATGACCCCCTCCTGAGGGGCTGTTGAAACAACATTAGCAGTAAATTGCTGACTCAAAAGATTGTGTACAGGGAGAATGCAATCCTATGCAATCCTAGCTGATGGAATGGGGGCTGGTGTGAGGTAGAGAAGGGAAGAAAGTAAAATAATCTTATACCTTAAAACATAGGTGTTACAGGCTAAATTATATTATCTCACACACACACACACACACACACACACACACACACACACACACACATATTAAAGCCATAACTCCCAGTGTTGGCTGTAGGTGCAGATAGGGCCCTGGAGAAGTGATTAGATTAGAATGAGGTCATCAAGTGGGCCCTAATCCACTCTGACTGGGGTCGTAATAAGAAAAGGACACTCAGAGACACAGAAAGACATCAGGGAGGCATAGGCATATGCACAGAGGAAAGACCAGGTGAGCACATGGCAAGAAGGTGCCCATGTGCAAGCTGAAGAGAGGCCTCAGAAGAAACCAAACCTGCCGACAGCCTGACCTTTTACCCTAGCCTCCAGAACTGTGAGAAAATAAAGCTGGTTAGCTGTCTTGTCTGTGGTATTTTGTTCTGGCCCTCTAGCAAACTAAAGTGACAAGGAGAGGAGAAACCAAGGGCTGGAGATGTTCAAGAAACTGTCAGATGTTGAACAGAACAAACCAGTTTGGAGACATTGTACTTTTCCTGGACAAAATGCTACATTTCCCAGAATCCCTGGCATGAAGGGAACTAACTGGTAGGTGACCAAGTGGCTGCCACCATGCATGGGAACTAATGCACATTTGGCAGCAACCAAACATGGGAAACGGGAATTTTTGGTGATAACAGTGTTGGAAGAATAGGTTCTTCTAACACCCAGTCCCCAGGGCTATCAGGGAAAATGGCAAACAAACAATGTCAGCAATGGTGTATCTGCTAGAAATCTCTGCTGGTGCTGGTAGGTATTTTTGTCTGGCTATATCATTCGTGGCTTTATAGCATCCCAGCCAGGTTCTCTGGCCCTCCCAAATATTCCTGAGTTACTTAATAGCTATTATTCCTTCACTAAATCCCCTTCTGCTCAAACTCACTAGAGTGGAATGTGTTTATGAGCAACTACAGATCCTGACAGTTAGGGAGAGAAGTCTGAGGAGAAAGCTGATGAGAAAGGATTTATTGTGTAGGTAGAAACCCTGGAGCAGCTCGTGACCCTCATTAAAAATGTTCAAATTCTTTGACCAATAATTCTACTTCCAGGGATGTGTGCAGAGTAAATCATCTAGGATAGGTAAACGGTTTTACATATTGAGACACTTAGGATCATTGCTAACAATAAAATAATACAAAATATTCTGTGTAACAATACCATGCCCACTGTGGCTCTAGGGAAGGCATTTCAATCCTAACAAATGGCAGTAAAGGTCACTGGTGGAGCCCTCACGGTCAAACCCAGCAGTCTGAGCCAACAAGAATCACAACACCAATGGTCTTTAACACAGGTAAAGCAATTTTACTCACACTTTTTCATATGATCCCTAAAAATAACTCTAGTAGTTATTTTAGAAAATTTCTGAAGGGATACCTCAGGAATGGTAATAGTCATCATCTTTAAGGACTAAGACTGGATACAGGGCAACAAGAATGAAAACTTATTTTTCAATTTACAGCCTTGAGTGCTTTTCTAGTATTTTTAATGCTTTTTAAATGTTTTTCTTTATTTTTAAGAGAGACAGAGCATGAGTGGGGGAGGGCAGAGAGAGAGGGAGACACAATCTAAAGCAGGATATGGGCTCTGAGCTGTCAACACAGAGCTTGACATGGGGCTCAAACTCATGAACCGTGAGATCATGACCTGAGCCAAAGTTGGATGCTTAACCGACTAGGCCACCCAAACGCCCCACTAGAATTTTTTTATAATAAGCATGTTTTATTTTTATAATGGTAAATAAATTTAAATTCAAATAAAAATTCTGACGAGGTTGATTAGGGAAATAATTCATTCACTTACCTCTTCATTCAACAATCAATGACTAACTAGTACTGCACTAAGCACTGGGCTGGCAGCAGGGAGACCAAGATGAACAAGAATCTGACCCAAGACAGTGGGGGAGACATACAACGTGATAAGTTCCAGGACAGATGATTGGTGGGGTCCCCCAGGAACCCCACCTTCTGGTATTTACACCCTTATAGTGTTTTTCCACATTGTACAAGGGTTGGTCTGTGTGATCAAGAGAATATGGCAGAGAAATGATCTGTCGGATTTGTTAGGTTTATAAAAGACTCTGTAGCTACAGTCTTGGGGACTCTTTCTCTCTCTGACCAGGGACTCTAGGGAAATCTAGCTGTCACATCATGACCAGCCCCTTTAGAGAGGTGAGGAACCAAGGTCTCCAGCCACTAGTCATGTGAGTGAGTTTGGAATTGGACCCTCCAGTCAGTCAAGCCTTCAGAAGAGTGCCATACTGGGCAACATTTTGGCTGTAACTTCATAAGAGACTTGAATTTTGCAGCTAAGCTATTCCTGAATACCTGCCCCTCAGAAATTGTGTGAGACAATAAAGGTTCACCGCTTGAAGATATTAAGCTTTGGGGGCGCCTGGGTGGCTCAGTCAGTTAAGCGTCCAACTTCGGCTCAGGTCATGATCTTGCGGTTCGTGGGTTCGAGCCCCGTGTCGGCCTCTGTGCTGACAGCTCGGAGCCTGGAGCTGCTTCGGATTCTGTGTCTCCCTCTCTCTCTGCCCCTCCCTGCTTGCATTCTCTCTCTCCTTCAAAAATAAACATTAAAAATTAAAAAAAAAAAAAGATATTAAGCTTTGGAGGAGTGCCTCACTCAGTCAAGTGTCTGACTCTTGGTTTTGGCTCAGGTCATGATCTCAAGGTTCATGAATTCGAGCCCTGCATTGGGCTCTGCACTAACAACGAGGAGCCTGCTTGGGATGCTGTCTCCCTATCTCTCTCTGCCCCTCCCCCACTTGCTCTCTATCTCACTTTCAAAAATAAATTAAAAAAAAAAAAGACGTTAAGCTTTGGGTCAATTATTATAGAATAGAGAAGTAATACAGGTCATGATGCAAATCCCGAGAAGCAGCTCAGATGGAGGAAGAAGCTCAAAAGAGAGTGAGTGGGGTTAGGTAGGCTCCCTGAAGAGCTGCTACTGGGGCTGAGATTTAAAGGTTGTGTGGAGTTGGTCAGGTCAGGAAGGCAGGGAAGGGAGAGCTTGAACCACTTACACTTTTGAGAAACTCCAACTGGTTCTGTATGGATGAAGCTCAAAGGCCTGTGGGCCAAGGACAGAAGTGATGCAGGCCCAGTCAACTTCAAGTTCCATATGGTAAAGTTTGATCTTTATACTGTGACCAGAGGGTAGTCCTGGGAGACTTCTAAGAAGGACGAAAAGCTTAGGTTCTCATGTTTAGAAGACCACCTGACCACACTGTGGCAGAACAGCTGAATGAAGTGGGCCAGCCTGGAGCGGGCAGCTCAGCTGGCAGCTGCCATAATAACCCACAAGATGAGAAGGAGAACTCCATTATCCCTGGTCTACAGATAAACACGCCATGCTCAGAGGAAATAAGGAACTGGTCTGAGGTCACCAGGTAAAGGGATCAGAGGCCAAAACCACTGTGGTATAAGCTGAAAAATATCCCAGGCCTCCCTTTACCCGGGGAGTTCCTCCCTCTCCAGGCTCCTTGTCTGCAAATGGCTGGCCAAGGCCAGAAGCCCACAGGACCAACCACAAGTGGCTTACAGTCCCTAGAACCCCTTTATTGTGAGGGAGGAGAGTCCATAAGCTGGGATAACAACTCTATGGCTGGGTTCAAGAGGCATGGAATATTATAGCTGGAGGCACCCTCTGAAAAAGTCCATACTACTCTCTAATTTAATGATGAGGAAACTGAGGCCCAGAAAGGTCTTGCTTAAGATCCTTCAATCCCAAAGAAGCAGAGATGGTACTTGTTATGGATTCAATTATGTCTCCCCTAAAAGGTATGTTGAGGTCTTAACCTCTGGTATGAATGTGATCTTATTTGGAAATAGGGTCTTTGCAGATGTAATTAGGATACCATGAAGTCATACAAGATTAGGGTGGCTCTAATACTAACTGGTGTCCTTATATGAAGAGAATTTGGACACTGAGATATACAGGGAGAAGATGGTCATGACACAATGGAGGGAGGGATTGGAGTGATGCATCTACAAGCCAAGGAATGGCAAGGATTGCCTGTGTGAGAGAATAGGTTTTATATTTAGGTCTATGCCCCCCATTCCTGGCACAGAGCTCCTGAAACCCTTGTACTTTTCTGGGTGATAGGAGTGTCTTTTGTTCTAATGAGGTGACTCTGGGTGGGCTCCTGGATGAAGGCTGGTCACCATAAAGAACAGACCACAATTAGAAGCTTGGAATTTCCGGCCCCACCCCAATTCCCTTGAGAAGGGAGCATGGCTGAAAATGGAGTTCATGATCAATCATGCCTATGTGATGAAGTCTCCACAAAATCCCAAAAGTATAGGGTTCAGAGAGCTTCCGGGTTGGTGAATACATGGCAGTGCTGAGCCTGGCATGCCTGAGAACATAGAAGCTTCATGCCCCTTCCCACATACCTTGTCCAACTGGCTGTTCATCTGTATCATTTATCATATCCTTTAATAAACTGGTAACTGTGTTTCCCTGAGTTCTGTGAGCCATTGTAGCAAATTAATTGAAATGGAAAAGAGGGGAGGGGTCACTGGTTGGTCAGAAGTGTGACTAGTGTCTGAAATATGGGTGGGGTTGGGTGGAGGTGGTGGGGGGCAGTTTTGCGGGACTGATCCCTTAATCTGTGGGATGATCCCTTAACCGAGTCGTGTCCGAATTGAGTTAAACGGTAGGACATGTAGCTGGTATCACAGAGAATTGCTTGATGTGGGGAAAAGCCTCTACACATATGGTGACCAGCAGTGTCAAAAAGGAAGTGTTGTGTACAAGTAAAGGAGATTCACAGGACAAAGAAACAATAGGTTGTTCCCTATAAAGTTTTCCCTACACAGGAAGGAAAAATCTCTAAATACCAAAGCAAAAGAGCCAAGGGAGGATTTTCCCCTAAAGGTTTCAGAGGAAGCATGGCTCTGCTAACACCTTGATCTCAGACTTCTAGCCGGCAGAACTCCTTCTAGACAGGTTTCTTCTTTGCCTATTTTTCCTTACTAATAATATCTTTTATATTTTCACTCTTTGGGTTATAATATTATAAGCATTTTTAATACCTGCATAACCATAATATACTTAGTGATTTTATTTGTGGGGATGTACAGGTAGTTTCCAGTTTTTTCACTACATAAATAATACTGTGTTCATAAAGCTTTGATGGGAATTCCTTGGGATAGAGTCCTTCCTACAAAGGATATTTTTAGGCCAAAGCGTGTTAACGCTGCCAAGTCATTTTCTAAGAGGGTCATCAAAGGTGTGAGCCAGGCAGCAAAGCCTGAAGTGCCTCAGCGTCTTCTTAAAGGAAAAGCAATCTTGCCCATGCGGATCCCACTTCCTTCCCCCTCACCCTCCTTTAAAGCCAGGCCAAGTTAGTGCCCTGCATTTTGCCTGGAGCTTTGCTTCTTTCTTGTCTGGGCGGGAATGAGAGCCAGATCCATCATGCCCCTGCCCGTCAACTGCTTCACCCTCCTAGGTGATGACTGTTTTGTACTCTGGGCTTCCAGCCGGCCCTGCCCCCACTCTGGGTTTTAAGCCTCCTAAATCTATGGAATCCCATGACCCTAGCCCTGCAACTTGTCCAGTGGACACAGAAGCTGCTGCTGCCGCCACCCAGGAGGAGAGGGGAAGGGGGGGGAAGAAAAAGCCGAGATTGATCAGTAGGCGGGAACTGTTAGCCAGGGCACCAGGCCAGGCCCCTCACCTTGCAGGAAAGGGTGTGGCTTCCGCTTGCCTCAGGGCCAGCCTCCAAACACCAGGCTTTGGGTTTAGCTGTAATGAGCTTTCGGTATTTCAACCAAGCCCCTTCTGTGGGCTTTTGGGGCTGGACCTGTAGACTGCCCTCACTTCCCTGCACCCTGGACTTCCTCGGCCAGCAACCCAGGACTCGGCAGCCATCCAGAAGAGAACTCACATCCTTCCCTCTATCATTCCCTGACTCTGCATAGCAGGTGGGCGAGGGGATCTTGGGATGTAACTCCAGCAACAGGGGAAGACCCCTACGAGAGCCAAGCCATGTGGACAATCAACAATGCCCACCAGATGCCCTGCCCAGCTCACACTCTCCCTCTCACCTCACAAGCCGCAGGAAAGTGGGGGCAACCCTGCCACCAGTTCTCTCTCTGCGGTGCAGATGCTTCCACAGAACCAAAGGGACTAATCACAGTGGCTTGGAATTTGGTACCTGCTTGTGTCCAGCCTGACCCTTGATCCGGCATCAGCCTCCTACTAGATCTCCTGCTTGTGTAGTTTTGAGCAAACAACACACCCGCCCTCCTATATCAAATAATGTGTGACACAGCATGGCTACATTCGCCACGGATCTGAAAGCGATTTGCAACTTCAGGGCTGCTCTGAATGCCAGGGGAGGCAATGGAAGGGGGAGCCCCCTCATCCCTCTTCATCCATCTCCCTCCCAAAGCTACAGTCTCAGTAGAAGAGAGAAGTCACATCCCCAGATTTTATGGCCTGCTCCTATGTTAATATAAACCCTTAGTGCGAACATCAATGTTAAAAGAATTTTAAGTGAACTTCCTCTTGCTGCTGCTCTTTGGTTCATTTTCCACCTTGATCTGTGTGTTCTGAGTCTGTCTGGACTCTTGTTAGCTGTGGGAAAGGCCGCATGGGCCATGGGCAAGGGCTGGGGGCTAAGGCTGCAGTCCCAGTTATTAGTCCCCGGGCTCTGAGCAAGCGGTTTCATTTTGCTGCCCCTCAGTTTCCTCATCCGTAATTCAGTGATAACAGCCACCCTGCGGTGGACAGAAAAAGGTTTGGAGTCAACCTTACGGGTTTGCATCTGCTCCATCACCACTAACACCCAGATCCCGAGCAAGCTGCTTAATTAACCTCCCGAACTTTGTTTCTCCTTTGGGGAAAGGGAGGAACGTGTGGGCCTGCGGGGGGCCAAAGAACACCAAGTCCGGGGCTCCTGCACGCTAAGTGCTTCATTCCGAAGCCCGGGCTGCCTCCTCGCTCAGGGGAGATAAAGTCTTACCGTGAAGACTACAGGAGATGATGCATTATTACATAGACGGGCGCCGCGAGCCACAGGGCACACTTACGTTGCTTCAATGTAGCATATTTAAATACTGTACTCTTCACAGCTTAATACGTTGTTTTAATTAAGCTATCCGCTTCAGGAGCCGCCCCCGCCCCACACCACTAGCCAAGAGGGCCTCTCCTCCACGCCTGTGCCCCGGCCGCTCCCTTCCACCTGAAGCCGCCCTCCAACCCCGGGCCCCGGGGCTGTCCCCGGGCCGCCGAGCCCGCCGTCGGGCGCGGGCTGGGGACCCGGCTCCGGGAGCCGCCGCCGGGATACTGTCCACTCACCCTCTTGACGAGGAAGCCCTCCTTGAGCACGCCGTCCTCCATACCGCTGCGCGCGCCAGCGGGGCCTGCGGGCGCTCCAGGTGCGCGGTCTGCGCGCCGCCCGCTCCTCCGCGCGCCCGCTGCGCCCAGGAGGCGCCTCCGACCCCGCGCCGGCGACGCCTCCCTGGCCCGCGCCCAGAGCCCGAGATCGCGGGACCTCCTGGGCAGGAAGTCGCGCCAGGCTGGGTTTCTGACGCGGTCGCCCCCGCGAAGGCGCGGTACGGTCTGCGGTTAGGCCTCCGGGTACAGAGTCTGCGGGCTCTGAACTTCCCGCCCTGCCGTCGCCCCCGGGAGCCTTCCTGGTCCAGCGCTCTCCGCCCGGGCGGGGTGCCGCGTCCAGGTGCCCTGAGCGCGCGCGGCGCCTCTGGCTGGCTGGTCTTTGCCCATTTTCTCCCGCCCCCAGCCTTAACCAGGTGCCGCCTCGCACTTAGTGTATGGCCCTCGAGTAATACGGAATTAAATGGCACTGAAAGGATTTGCAGGGATTCCGAGTCATCCCGAGCTCAGTGGAAATTGGGGGGGGGGGGGGGGGGGGGGGGGGGGGGGGGGGGGGGGGGGGGGGGGGGGAGAGGGGGAGAGGGGTTGGAGTGGAACCAGGCTGGGAGCTTTATTCTGGCCTCTGGTCGGTGCAAAGTTCCCGTTCACAAAAAAGATCACAGGTTTAAAGAAGCGCAGATCGTAGGAGCCCTCTGCCTCCAGAATATACCGACCTACCCACCCCTAAAAAAGCTACAGCTGGCGATTCCTTCATTAGGTGCAAAATTTAAAGGCATGCCGGGGAACTCAGTAAGCTAGATAAATTCTATTTTAACGCAATATTTTTGAAAATCAAAATAATGCGGGGCGCCTGGGTGGCTCAGTCGGTTGAGCGTCTGACTTCGGCTCAGGTCATGAGCTCACGATTCGTGGGTTCGAGCCCCGCGTCGGGCTCTATGCTAACAGCTAGCTCAGAGCCTGAAGCCTGTTTCATATTTTGTGTCTCCCTCTCTCTCTGACCCTCCCCCGCTCATGCTCTCTCGCTCTCGCTCTCTCAGAAATAAATAAAACATTTAAAAAAATAAAAAATAATGCAAAAAAAAAAAAAACCAGATGAACAAAATATCAAAATTTTAAATGAGGACAGGATCAGCCCGTCCTACGAGACCATATGGGAACCTGCAACAAAAGGAAACATAGCAGTACTGAACTGTTTCTAGTATTCCTTAGGACACATTCAGCTTGTTCATTGTTTGCACTGGGTGTGAAGGGCCCCCTAAGGACTCTTCACCAGGAAGAGGAAAGGCCCCAGCTGCCTAGAAGGGAATAAAAGTTTCTGTCAGAAGAAAGTACCCCCAGGCTGCCTTTCAGAACCAGCCTGCAGCCAATTCCCAAACCACAAAGGGCATCCCTGCCCCAGACATGCCTCACTTCAGCTTTCTCACTGACTGACTTAAGGTCTCCCTGTGAGTTCAAAAGCAATGTGTCTTCCACTCCATTTCAGGATGCTCAGAGACTCAGTACCTTCTGAAGCCAGGTCTGTAGTGGGTGCTAGGTTTTATTTAATGTACAACAATCCCATTAGGTGGGTTTATTATCCCTTTATTTATTTATTTTTCCAGCAAAGGAAACAAACTCAAAGCAGTTAAATAACTTGCCCAAGGTCACACAAGGTAGGATTTTAACTCCAGGGTAGTGTGACAACACTTGCTTCTCAGCTTTTGAGCTGGGAAGAGGAGTAAAGAATCACATGAGCTCTATGGGGCGCCTGGGTGGCTTAGTCGGTTGGGTGTCTGACTTTCGCTTAGGTCATGATCTCGTGATTTGTGGGTTCGAGCCCCGCGTCGGGCTCTGTGCTGACTGCCAGCTCAGAGCCTGGAGCCTATTTCAGAGTCTGTATCTCCCTCTCTCTCTGACCCTCCCCTGCTCACGCTGTCTCTCTCTCTCCTAGAAATAAAAAAATAAATAAAAATATTTTTTTAAAAAAAAGAATCACATGAGCTCTGAAATCTTGCTGGGCTCAAATCTAGGACATGAGAGGGTAGAGTGGAAAATTCTTATCCCCCTTGGCTCCAGCTGCAGCCCGTTTATCTCCTTCTTCCTCTGAAATGCCAGAAAAGCTGGGGATTGGCACAAATTGACACAACTTTCTAGGACTAGGAAGAGACGGCAATACATTTGACAACAAGGGTTCCTGAATGAGTTCACAGAAATGGAAAAGGGAGGCATACTGATCCTCTCTCCCGGCAGTGCCCCCACCAGGAGGAAACTAAGGCCTCTTCATACTTAGAACCTGCATCCTATCCTGGGAAAGCCCCTGGTACAGCCCACCCCATCTGATTCACTGGACTCAGGGCATGAGTCACATTCCTTCCTCACCCAGCTATAGTGGCTGAGCCACTAGCCCACCAAGGAACCACGCTGACATAAGCCCAACTCAACCATGGGGAAAAGGATGAAGACAGAGGAAGCTGGCAGTGGTGAACAGCTGAGACTTGGAGAAAGGAGAGGGAAAGGGAAGGAAGCTCAGAACACAAGAGCTTATCTTGCTTTTCCAGGCAGACACCTCTCACTCTCAAGACTTAGGCTGATGTGGAAGGATCCTTGACTCTTTCAAAAGGTCAGATAATATCTAGAATGTGTGAGTTGTAGAGAGCTATATGGTCAGTGTTTGGGTGTAGGTTATTGAAATTCCACCATTAGAGAGTCATTCCTTTAGCTATAGATAATAATCCACTATTTAAGATACTCACTATAGAGAAAGGTAAGTCATGAATCCTTACTCACAATGAATACATTGACTTAATGAGTGTATCAGAATCACAGAATCAGAATCTAATCAGAATGTCAAAAATGAAGACTCCAAAGCCCAGAGAAATAAAATGACTTCTCCAAGGCCCAACAGCCAGTTGGTGGCAATGCAAGATCAGAAAACAGGCTAACAGTGTAAGTACTTCAAGACTAACCCTCAGCAAATGCAAGGGCACTTTCCCTCCTATGTCAGAATAGGACTGCCTTGAGGGTGTAACTACGTGTGCTGGAAAGAGTTCTGTCTGCAAAGCCAGAAAAGACCTTAAACAATGTCTTCCATGTTTTTTTTCTGACTATAATTTTTGTGCTTATTATAGAAAATTTAGAAATTACCAAAAAAAAGATAACCACACAAATCCCATTATCCAGGCAGATAATATTTTTACATTCACATATGTTTTTATTTAAAAATTCTTGAAGCTTGGGGCACCTGGGTGGCTCAGTTGGTTGGGCGTCCGACTTCGGCTCAGGTCATGATCTCGCAGTTCGTGGGTTCAAGCTCCACGTCAGGCTCTGTGCTGACAGCTAGCTCAGAGCCTGGAGCCTGTTTTGGATTCTGTGTCTCCCTCTATCTCTGATCCTCCACTGCTCATGCTGTGTGTGTCTCTCTCTCACAGAAATAAATAAAACATTAAAAAAAATTCTTGAAGCTTGTCTTTTTTTCATTTATGACATGAAATGTTATAGCATGCATAAAATTTATCATGCCTATATCATAATGTATTTCATCATTTCCATTTAGGCTGAATTCCCTGTTTCACTGCGTAAATGATGCTTTGATAAGTACCTCAGTACATAAACATTCTGCCACATCCCTGATTATTTTGGATAAATTTTTAAAGCATGCTTTTAGGTTAAAGCGTATAAGTTTTAAAAATTCTTGATACACATCTCCAAACTGCCTCTTAGAAACAAACCACAAGACGCCTTCACCAACAGCATATGATAATGACAGTCTCAGGTATCTATACCAATATTACCTGTAGTATTTTTAGAAATCTTTGCTGATTTTACTGGAAGGAACAGAGCCCCTTCCTAGATGTGTAGGCTCTGTGTTATCTTTATCAGGGGATGGCCAGCTGGAGGAGTTCCCCCTGGAAGAGACTCAGAACTGGGAAGTGGCCAGGAAAGAGGGCAGTGAAGAGGCCCAGTGTAAAGCGCCACTCACAGGAGAAGGAGGGCATGTGGGGTCTTGGGCCCCCAAGAGAGCACCCTGAAGGTATTTGGGCAGAGAAAAGAGGAAGGAGAGGGGAGCTAGAAGTGAAGGCAACAGAGAAAGCTGGTAGAGAAATTTTGCCCAATTCATGGCTTTGCCCAAAGCCATCCATCAAGTTGCCCTCTTACAACCAGAAACATATTCATTCATCCATCATTTCATTCATTCAGTCAGTCACCAAGGTGGAGACTCCTATTGAGTATGGCCTGTGTACAAAGCACAAACCCAGTGCCAGGAGCAATACACAGACCCTGGCCCCAGGCCTTACACATCGGTGTAGACAAAGTACCACTTTGATTAACCATGAATGTCCCCCTGGCCTGCTGCAACTAGTAGGGCAGACCCACCAACACAAAATGCAGTGTTACAGAGTAATTTTGCTCATACCGTCTGTGCTAAAGACCAGTGTTTTTTATTTCCCCTGAGTCGTGGACTATTTGCATGGTCCTAGCGTGCATGACTAGAACATAGCCTCCACCACAGGCGACTTATCAGAGACTTCTGCATCAACCAAACTCATCTATATTCTGTTCAATGAAATAAAGCCATCAATCATGCACTTGAATGTCATGGCAATGCCCAGCCCTGTAAAAGTTTCCAAATATTCTTAATTTCGGTTCTTAGCTTGTAACAGAGCAGTTCCAAACAGTTCACTCGTGAAAGAAATCACACTTTGAGGGTGAGTTCTGGAAACTTCAAGTCTTATTTCAGCCACTACATGACTCTTGGCAAATTACTTATCTTCTCTGATCCTTATTCTCCTCATCCATAAAATGAGGTAATAAAGTGCCTATCTCACAGGGTTATTGGGAAAATTAGTAAGAATATGAAAGTAAATTGTGTAGTGTCAATGCCTGGCACACAGTAGGATACGATAAATTCCCTCAATTCCATTTTATCCCAACCTTGTGAGGTTAGTAGAAGTATTGGTTATAAGTACCCCACAGTTATGGATAAAATACCAAAGCTGGGCAGGGGGTAGAAGAGCAAAGTTTATATTTACTGTGTCCCTATTATGTGCCAAAGATTTCACGTATACGATTTCATCCTCAAAAATTCCCTGTGAATTGGGTATTATACCCATTCTGTAGATGGAAATGAAGATTCAGAAAAGTTAAATAACTTGGCCAACATCACAAAGCTAGTATATGGCTCAGTCCAGGTTAAAATCTAGACCTGATTCCAAGCCTTGTTCTTTCCACTACTTCATACTGTCTCCTTTGGCTGAAAGATGTTCTCTCTTCCGGAGAAGGAATCCCGTCGGCCTAAGTCAGGGGGCTGCTGTGGTAAATGCATTCTTGTTCCCAATTATTCACTGCCTGTGTAGAAGGCTTCCCTGACCCTTTGACCTAGGGTGGGTCTTGTAACTTGCTTTGACCAACGGAACATCAGCTGCATATCTCAGTGGAAGATTTAAGCACCATCACCTGGTTCCACTCTTGCTCTTTCCACAAGCCCGGCATGTTCCAAATAGGGGCTGCTTCTACAACTTGAGTCTGGGAATGCACACAACTTGGGAAAAGAACGACAGCCAACGTGAGTAAGAAGTAAGCCTTTGTTGTTGTAGACATGAAGTTGGGGGAGGGTTGTTTGCTACCATGGTGTAACTGGTGAAAGCTCATGGATACCGCCAGCTCTCCACCTCAGCCGCTTCTCAGATCCTGAAGGATGCTACTGGGCAATGCCAGGACTTGCAGCTTTGGAACACTTGGCTGGCATGAAACCCACCTCCCTGTTCCACTGGCAAAGCTGAAACACCTTGAGAGGGCTGTCACTCTCACTAGGGTGTTCAGCCAGCCTTTGGTCGGGGACAGCCCAGACCCCTTGTTTCCCCACCAGTGTCGTCAACCCTGCCTATGGCCCAGAACCCAGCCTTTTAGGAGAAATGCTTGTGGCAGCTGTTGCCTGGACAGGAAGGGCAGGGGGTGGAGCAGGATGCGACTCATGACTCAGCTGTCTGTGCCCAAGAACTGGACCTGTTTAATATAGATAAGGGCCCTCCCCTCCTTCTCTCCCCCTTCCTCCCTTCTCTAAATGTTATTCCTAGAGGTTAGGCTTTCTTTTTTGCTTATTTTGTGTGTATAAAAAAAAAAGGGTCAGGGCAGGGGGCCGGGCCGCTGGGTGGCTCAGCAGGTTAAACATCCGGCTCTTGATTTTGGCTCAGGTCATGATCTCTGGGTTCATGAGATGGAGCCCAGAATCAGGGTCTACACTGACAGCACAGAGACTGCTTAGGATTCTCTCTCTCTCTCCTTCTCTGCCCTACACCCCCTGCACGCACTGTCTCTCTCAAAATAAAAAAGGGGTGGGTGGGTGGTGGTAGAATCTTGGCCTGGGAATGTCTGAGGAACCCCAGCAGCAAGGGGGTGGCCATGGTGCCATGTGCTGGCCACCTGTATCACTATCACATCTGGTCATATCTGTTCTCAGGCCTCAGAGGCTCTCACCTGGCCAATCATCAGAATCACCTGCAAGGCTTTTACCAGCCCCACGCAGATCCTCCCCTCATAACAAGGCAGACTGTGTACTGCATAAAAAGGGCAAACGGTAGCCAAAATGCAGGCATTGCTTCACAGTCCCCACATGCCCTCAACTCCGGGCTGCATTCTCCACAGGGAAGGGGGGTTTTTTCCTTAACCTAAAGCCTCTGTCCACTTGCCAAGCCACATCCTAGCAAGACTGCTTCTGCCCAAAGAAGGCACCTTCTTCTATTTCCTACAAAGTAGCAGGGACCAAGCCCATCCCCAGGAGATTCTGATTGGTGGTTTGGAGAAGTCTCATTTTAGAAATCGCTCCTAGTGAGGAGGTGGTTCAGCTCTGGGAACCTTACTCCTGGAAACCCCCTGAGCTTCTCAGCCCTCTTAAGGGGAAGGGCCCTCTGAACTCAAACGTGGGTGCCGACTGAAGACGAGCCCCGTTGCTGACTATGACGGGGAGAGAGGTAGCGAAATCCCGTGCGTCTCCCAGGTGATGTGGTGGCTCGAGCTGAGTTCAGGGGAGCAAGCCGCTCTCCAGGCTGGTCTCCCCCCTGCACTCAGGGCGGCTGGCATAAAAGCGTCCCCAGCCCCCATGCACCCAGCTCCACCCTCGGGAGCGGCTATCAGTTGCTAGGTGGGGCTGTCTGCCAGGGAGATTAGAAGAGGGCGAAGCCTGCCCCAACAATCCCCAACGCAGAGCTCTGAACTTAGAAAAAGTGAGGAGTAGGGGGTTGCTGTGGGCTTGGTGAGGTTAAACACGCTACGAGATGCTGTGAAGACTGAGTTCGCAATCTAGCAATCACTCCGCGCGGAAGAAGCTCAAGCTAGAACTTCCTAGGACTGGAGGCAGACGCTTCCCGGCGTTCCAAACGCGGAACCGCGGGGGAGGGGCGCGCGCAGGGCGGAGGTCGGCAGGCCCTGCTGTGGGAGACTTCCCACCTCCACCTGGCGAGCGGGACCCTTGGACGCAGAGTTTAAGGACGCGCCTGGAGTGTGGAGGCGCAAGGTCCACGCCTGAAACTGCGTGTCTCCTTAAATCTTGTGCTGTGTCTCCTGCTAGTGCTGCCCAAGTTCCACCCAGAGTCCCGACCTCTGCGGGTATGACCGCTGAATTACCCCGCTCTTCCGACAGCCTTTGGGGTTGCCCGCCCACGTCGAAGCCCACCTCCCACGAGCAAGGTGAATCTCCTCTCCTTTGAAGATCAGAAATGGAACTCTTTCCTGTTCTATTAAAGATACATTTCCAGTCAGGGCAGACGTGGAAGAAAATAGCAAGCAGTGATTAAGATGGCCGACTGTGCCTCTGCTCTGCTTAGAGTGCAGATCTGACTCTAGAGGGCTGTGCTAGGCCTGGGACTTTGCACTTCTAACTAGTTCCCAGATGATGCTACTGCCCTTGGTTAGGAACCACCGGAGTTACTTAGCTCCTGTAAAGGGAGACCTTGAACTCGGGACTGGCTGCACAATTTGCAGGGCCCTATACAAAATGAAAAGCCATCCTGAATCAAAACTTAAGAATTTCAAGATATCAGCAACAGACTGTTAAAACAGTCATGGGGCCCTGTGCCGCTGTTGGAGCCTCACAGGGTTGTTGAGAAGATTAAAGGTTAGCCCGTAAAGCTCTTAGATATCACCTGTGCATATGGTAAATCCTTGATAATGTCAGTGAGCAGTAGTGCTCAGCCCCAGATAGCCTCTCCCTGAACATAGAGACCGTCAGACCTTATGTAGTCCAATCTTTCTTTTACAGGGGAAGAAATTGAGCTTCCAAGGAAGAGCTCAAGCAATAAATGCTAGGTCAGAGGGACAACTTGTGAGGTCACAATCAGAGCTCTTCGCCAGGTCTTTTCCTCCTGGGCTGTATTCAGTATGTGTGTGGGATGGGGGTGGGGGACAGGCAGCAGGCAGGGAACCTCCCATCTCAGTAATGCTGAGGGGAGGTTGAGACTAGATGGGTGCAAGTTGGCCCTGTAGGAACACAATCCAGATCGCTGGATCACACACCTGTTGGACTTCTGGGATGTATGTTCTGAGCCCCTTGTAAGAACCTAGAATTCTGTGGGAATGCCACAGGTGCCTTCAACCACTGCCTCTTAAACAGATCCAACTGCTGGTATGCAGAAAAGAAGGATAATGGTGTCTGAGGGCTCTCGTCACGTGACACGTGCTTCTCCTAAAGCTTCTCCAGGCTTTTGCTTTTTCACCTGATTTCGGATTCTGTGCTTTGTTTTGCATGAGTGAGGTTGCCAGATGTTGAATTCTGGATGAATGAGTTATCACTGCCTCAATAAGGAAACTGATAACAGAAAAATTGCAGGTTTTAAGAATGATTGCCATTATTGCTATTTTAGTCGTCACTATTAGGACAGGAAGATTGACAGTGAATTTCTGAGGCCATTCTGAGAACAAGACCAGCTCTTCCCTTCCAATTACAAATCGGGAAGCCATGTTACAGTAACAGTAGTGCCTTCTGTTTCTAGAGGCCACTGTCAGACAGTGTCTATTGAAGACAGAACTCTGCCCTTGACTCCTAATTGCACTTTTCAGACATGGGGGTACACTGTGGCCAGTGATGTAAAGATGGGGTAGTGATGTAAAGATGGGGTAGTGAGTTAATCCAGCCCTCAGATTTGTGTCTACCCTAAACCAGGGTACAGACCATGGCTACCTCTTCCTTCCCTCACGCCCTCTTACCCCTCCAGGTGTCTCATGATTGGCTTAGGAAGGAAGAAATGGGTGAGGCTCAGGTGTCAGCCCAGTCAGGTAGCCCTAAGGGCTGAGCAAGACAACTATTTCTTTTTCAAGAAGGATTCCCTCTCCAGCAGGATCCCACTTCTCTCTCAGACCCTCCCCTGTGGCCCCTCTTCTGAAGCTCTCTCCAACTACCCCCAGAGTTGGGGCTCAGCCTTGTATGTCACTGCGTGTTAGTAGAAATAATAATAGCTGCCATATTTGGGGCTCTGTGCTAAGTTATCCATTAATGCCGACAGCCCAACGAGGCAGATGTTGTTATTTGCATTTGCAGACGATGAAACAGAAGTAACTTGCCAAGCTTGTGCAGGGCTGACTCCAAATTTTGGGCTCTTAACTTCAGAGGTGTACTGAACAGTGTATCATATACTATGGGGACAGTCTCTCAAAAAGCAGACCAGAGGTCTGGGGCTCCAATGACTTCGGAGTGGAATGAATGAGTGCAGAGGACAGAGGTGTATTTGAGGGCAGGCATCTCTGCAGCACGATTCCAGGGAGCTGAGTCTACAGCTGAAATGCTCTGCGGTGCTCTGGGTGTTTCTCTTTGTGGCTGTGGCCTGCTCAGGACATTTGTGGCTCTTGGAAGTGGAGTCAGCTAGGAAGTCTGTCACCTATGATGCTAAGGTCTCCAGGAAGTAGGCCTGCTGGGAAAACAGCCCCATTGTCTCTCATGACCAGGAACAGCTTGAGAGACTGCCATACTTGTGAGTGAGAAACCCAGGGAGGGCAGACCTACTATAGCTCTGAAATGACCCAGTCCCCTCCTTATGTGTCTTTTGTAGAGTGGACTCCCTGGGGAGCCCATTTGTTTTACCTGCCAAGTCCTTGAATCCAGGTAGAAATCAGGGTTGCATGTCCCTCTGCCCCAAGGGCTGCACGCTTCTATCTTGTAGCTCTGTGTCTTCTCCTTCTGTCTTAGAAGCAACACCAGAAGAGTCCTTTGCTCCTGGGGTCCTGAGTCAGGACTGGATTCCAGGACTGTGGACCTCCTCCACAGCCCCATCCCTGTGTCTCACAGGTGGGACAAGTTTGAGACCTCTGTGGTGAGTTTTCATTCTGTGACTTTACTCACCAGGTCCAGCCCTGTAAGTAGTTAGTGTCGATGAGATATATAGAAGGCCTGAAGGCTAGGCCTGTAACCTGTCTGCTACCCATACATGTGCATGTGGATACACACACACATATGTGCACTCGTGTGTGCCAACCTCCCATTGATTCTCTAACTGCCAGTTTGTCCCAAGCAGTGTCTTGGTCCAGGAGGGAGATGACAAGTAAAATAAACATACCTCCTCTTTCCATGTGGCTCCCTTCTCTAAGTCCATGTTGTCCAATAGAACTTTCTTTGCTGATGGAAATGTTCTATATCTGCTCTGTCCAACACCACAAAAAGATATTGAGCCACTTAAAATGAGACTAGTGTGAGGAACTGAAGTGTTTAAATTTTATTTCAGAATCTATGCAGCTACACATGACCAGTGGCTAGCAAATCAGACAACGCAGATCTAGGGATTGTCATGTTTTCCAGTAAAAACTTAGGAACCAGGGCCTGATAGGTGGGAGTGGATGTATAGAGCAAACTATTTGGAATTGGGACTGGGCTGTTAATCTGTATGCTACATCTGTGTTTGAGCTCCTATTTAAAACCTCATCTTTGTCCCCCTTTTATACATTTTTATTTCTAATCCAGCAACTCTGTAAAGAAGATCATCTTTATTTTTGCACATGAGACAACTGAGGCCCAGAGAGCTAAGTGACAGCCTGAGCTCACACAGCACTAGGGATCAGCCTCATCCTTGGAGCTGGGTGGCTCTGGCTCAGGTTCCAAACCCAGGCTCCTCCCATTGCCTCTATTTAGGCCCTTAGAAGTCCATTCATCAGAGGGTGGCCCAGCCCTCCCACAAAGCCCTGGGTGCTGCTGCTGGGAAAAACTGGGGTGCAGAGACTTCTGAGTTCAGCTGCTGAGGGGAAGTTACTGGTGTGTCCAGGAAAGTAGGGGAGTGGCTGGTGCCACGCAGACTGACCTGCACCCGAGCCCGCAGGTGTCTTTTGGAGGAGGCCTGGAGACCACTGAGCGGGACATATGTTGTCCAAGGCCTTCCTCCTGCCTGAAATTCTTTGCTTGCTGTCTGAATTCCACCAGTGGTTCTCTCTCTCTCTGAACAAAATATAGAAGAGATTCTTTAATAGCTTGATTTATGGAGACAAAAAGGAGATTTTGTTAGAGGGGAGAGTCAGGTAGAGTAGAGGGAAGGGCAGAACTGGGCAGAATCCCAGCATGGGCACTTAGGTCAAAGAGCCTTGAAGACACAGGCTTCCGGGAGGTGGGGGGCAGTGTGGGATGAGTGATGAATCAGGGGACATAGCAAGGAATGTTAGTAGGCCAGATATGGGGGAGGCACTGAAGGCAAACTTTCAACCCACTAAACTCAGTCTGTTCCTCTCAGGGCTCTCACGCCAGCCTGGTTCTCTCTTGCCCCAGGGCCTTTGCATGCACAGCTCCCTGTACTCCAACTCTCACTAGCCTCTGCTTGCCACAACCCTCCACTTCCTCCTTCAGCTCCCAGTTTAAAGATTACTTTCTCAGGGATATCTTTCTGGCTCCCAGGCTTTATATAAAAAGTATCGTGTCGCATGTTCTCACTGGCGTCTGCTCCTTTCCTCCATGTGCTCAGCTCGTCTTTTAATTGTTTACTTGTTATTATTTTATTAATGTCTTACTCCTTCATTGGATTCTAAGCTTCACAAGAACTGAGACTGCATGGTTTTACTCTTGATTTTAGCCAGAGCAACTCCCCATATTGCCTGGCACATAGGCACCACTCCATAAATAAGGGCTGAATAAATTCAGTGAATGCAGGTGAGGTGGGTCCATCCATCATGGGGCTTTCTGCCCCTTTCCACAAAGAAATTGAGTCTGCCCAGACTGATCACCAGAACTGTGATGAGTCTGTCCCTAAGTCACCCTTAACTCCTTCATCCATACCTAGAAGAAAATCAGTTCCAATGCTTTGGGCTCCAAGTAATCAAAAAGTCAACCAACAGTGGCTTAAACCCTAGGGAGATGTGTTTATCTACTTAACAAGAAGCCTGGAGGTAGATAATGTCAGAGTTGACCCAATGGCTCAATGCTGCCATCACAAACCAGGCTTTTCCCAACTTCCTGCCCTGGCCTCAGCCATTCGTTTGTTGCCACAGTAACAAATATCACATTCTCTCAAAACACTGTCTCAAGCAGGAAGGAAAGGGACAAGAAGGGATTGGGAGGGTGTGTGTTTGCAAGATTGAATTTTAAGAATAAAGTGACCATCTGTACCAGCCTCTAGGATAGTACTTAACAACATGGTTTTGCAGTTAATTCTTTATCTACGAGCATCCCTCCCCAGTAACCTCCCTGACCAGCTTGTTCCTAAGAGCAACTATTTTGGGAATGTCCTTCATCAGCCCTTAGCACAGTCCCCAGGCCGCCATGGTGCTTGTAGAAGGGGAAGCCCTTCAGGAAGTCAAGAGTGAGAGAGGCAGGGAAGGTCCACAGTGGGGGTATAGGCTGTGTCCATTGCCAGAATTGGGGAACTCAGAGGGAAAGTGGGCATCAGGGTGCCCATAGCAGAGGAAACAGGAAGTGGTGAGTCTGAGAGGAGAAGGGGGAGAGCTGTGGCGATTACTGGCACAGTTGGTAAGGAACTGTTAAAAAAAAAAAAAAAAGGGAAGGGTGTAGACCTAGGAGTTTGTGCCAGTCCAGCTTCCTATATGTCCTGAGGTTTTCTTCCATTGCAGTGGGTGTTGTTTCTTTCCAGAAAGGGCAAGTGTGCGGCTGTCCCTCTCCTCAGAAGCATCCAAGTGCAAATGAGTCCTTGGTGGGTATTTCCAATGGCTCCTGTAGTAGTTGGAGGGAGGAAAGGAATTGCAATCCTCTTCTGCATCCTCACCTATTATGGTCCTGTGGAACTGAATACCAATAGCAGGCAGGGGAGAGAAGCTAAAATATTGGGGGTGGTTAAGAGAGAAGGAAGTAAAACCTATCCCACCCCCTACCCCCATCTTCCCCCTCATGTCCATTCTCAACATCTGGCATTCTCTCTTTCTTGGGTCCTGACCTGCCTGAACAGGGTCCCTACTAGGCTT